GCACACTGTATGTTAGCTAAGTTGACAATAAATTGTATAAAAATATAAATGAATGAGTAAAAACCTTTTCTAAAGTCCTTGAAGAACTGTGGTTTGAAATCCTTCTAGCTCCTGCTCTCTACACCCTGTTTTTAACCCATGAGAGCCAATTATAGTACAGAATTTAAAAAAAAAAAAATTTTTTTTTAATATTTATTTTTGAGACAGAGTGTGCAAGCAGGGAAGGAACAGAGAGAGAGGGAGACACAGAATCTTAAACAGGCTCCAAGCTCTGAGCTGTCAGGACAGAGCCCAACACGGAGCTTGAACTAAGGAGCTGTGAGATCATGACCTGAGCCGAAGTTGGACACTCAACTGACTGAGCCACCCAGGGGCCCCTAGAATTATTTTTTAATCATCTTTGGATAACCAAGGCCTAGCACATAAGTGCTCATTAAATGTGTGCGTGTCTGTGTGTGTGAAAAGAGAGATGAACTGAGAACCATGTCAGACTATAATTTGTTTTTATGGTTTCTGTACTTCGTAATGAGTACATAAAGTATGTTTCCAAACAATTTTTGGACAGTTTTTATAAGGAATTGCATTGGGTGTCTTTTAAGTAGAACTAGCACTTCAGAAACTCACCCATTCTTTTCACTGATGATTAGTCACAGTTGTTTGTGCTGATAGTATATGTAGTGCCTTATACACACTTTTATTGATTAAAAGATTAAAAATAAAACAGGATTTACTTAAAGCTGTAAGATTTTTGTTTTTTAATTTTAGAAAGAGAAAGCAGGGGAGAGAGGCAGAAGGACAGAGAATCTTATTCAGGCTCCATGTTCAGTGGGGAGCCCGATGTAGGGCTTAATCTCACAGCCCTGGGATCATGACCTGAGCCAAAATCAAGAGTGGGTCACTCAACTGACTGAGCCACCCAGCACCCCAATGTTTTATAAGTATTAAAACTACTATTCAATAAAAGTGATTTTAGTACAAGAGCTATCTTTAGGGGCACCTGGCTGGCAAAGTCAATAAAGCATACAGCTCTTGGTCTCAGGGTTTTGAGTTCAAGCCCCACATTGGGTATAGAAATTAGTTAAAACTTCAAAAAGTAAAATCTTTTTTATTTTATTTTTTTTTAATTTTTTTTTTTAATGTTTATTTTTGAGACAGAGACAGAGCATGAACGGGGGAGGGTCAGAGAGAGAGGGAGACAGAATCGGAAACAGGCTCCAGGTTCTGAGCTGTCAGCACAGAGCCCGTCGTGGGGCTCAAACTCAAGGACCGCGAGATCATGACCTGAGCCGAAGTCGGCTGCTTAACCGACTGAGCCACCCAGGCGCCCCTAAAATCTTTTTTAAAAAAGAACTATGTCTAGGTCTAATTTTTATAATATAAACTTTCACATTCTTAATTTTATAGGCTTATGGAATAGGCATAGAATATACTAGAAGGATACAAAAGAGCCTCAAGGTGGGAGGGGAACTTTTTTCATTTTTACTATTATTATGGTTTAGGAAACTCTTTTTAGTGAGTTTTAAGTGTGTACATGTTTGGAATTCTATAGGTTTACTAGTAAAGATGATTTAATACTTAGTCATAAAACAGCAGCTGACCCCGATCAGTAAATAATACATAATCTAGCTTCTGCTTTATCTCTCAGAGGTTTTCTTTCCTTTTTATAAAAGTAAGGCTAAATACTTAAAGGGTCAATGTGAAGATTTTAAAAGCTTATGAATTTAAAGTGCTTAGCCTAGGGGCACCTGGGTGATTCAGTCGGTTGAGCATCTGACTTCAGCTCAGATCATGAACTTGAGGTTTGTGGGTTCAAGCCCCACATAGGGCTCGCTGCTGTCAGCCTGTCAGCACAGAGCCCACTTTGGATCCTCTGTCCTCCTCTCTCTGCCCATCCCCCACTTGCATTCTCCCCAAAATAAATATTTAAAAATAAGTAAATAAAGTAGTCAGCTTATCTGAAGTAGTAAAAAATGATAGTTTTCATTGTCCCATATAGTACTGCTTATAAGACATTTTTTTAATACCCAGTTATATTTAAATATTCCTATATAATCCCCAGGTTTCGAAGGATTTGCTGCTGAAAATAAAAAATACAGTTCTTCAGAGGACAGTGGATGGTATGCAGCAGGAGGGTATGCCATACACAGGTGAGCACACTGATGTCACTGTGGGCATTATTCATGGAGCGACTTTACACCTTGACAAAACTTCCCCACTTTCTTTTTTCACCACCTTTTAATTGAGCCCTGTTGTAAAGTTTGCCATGGTTAGTGCAAAACTTCAAGTGTTAGAAACATACTTTAATTTTCAGTCACGATACAATGTTTTCATGATAGTTTTTTGGGTTTTTTTTCCTTTTTCATTGAAGGTGTCCTCTATGCTGGTATAATGCTGACCAAGGATGGCCCAAAAGTTCTGGAGTTTAATTGCCGTTTCGGTGATCCAGAGTGCCAAGTGGGTAATAATTAAAGACAGTTTATAAAGTGGTACTTTGTTGACGTGTTTCTTAATCTCAGGATTTTATCAGCCTGGACATAATTACCTTTAAGAAATATGTGCAGGGGCGCCTGGGTGGCTTGGTCGGTTGAGTGTCCGACTTCGGCTCAGGTCATGATCTCACGGCCCGTGAGTTCGAGCCCCGCATCGGGCTCTGTGCTGACCGCTCAGAGCCTGCAGCCTGTTTCAGATTCTGTGTCTCCCTCTCTCTCTGCCCCTCCCCTGTTCATGCTCTGTCTCTCTCTGTCTCAAAAATAAATAAACGTTGAAAAAAAATTAAAAAAAAAAAAAAAGAAATATGTGCAGGTTCTGCTGGTATCTCAGTGAATAAAATGTCTAGAGAGAACTAAAGTTTCTCTCAGTTGCCATGTTGATTTATGTTTTCCCAGGTGATCCTCCCGCTGCTTAAAAGTGATCTTTATGAAGTGATTCAGTCTACCTTTGATGGCCTGCTCCACACATCTCTGCCTGTCTGGCTGGAAAACCGCACCGCCCTAACTGTCGTGATGGCAAGTAAGGGCTACCCAGGAGATTACACCAAGGGTGTGGAGATAACAGGTAAATACCTGGGAACCAAAGGTGGGATTAGAGTGCAACAAGTAACCTGTGTTACAGCAGGCCTTCCTCCCGTGCTCTACTCTGTGCCTTTTACGGGTATAAGGCCATCAGAAACCTTGAAGGGATTTTTAACCATGTTGGATGTGGGTTTCAAATATCCAGAATTACTGTATTTAAAGAATTGCCATCAGTTTCTCTTCCTTACAAGAAGACCTAAGTAGGCCTAGCCAGGTTTCTAGAATATCACTTGCTGTTTCTTTCTTTTCCACCCTCCAAGAGCCAGGAAGATAAAGGGAATTTATGAGAGTCAGAGGAACATTGGTAGACGCTACATCAGTGAGACACATCCCAGAGGCATCACAACTAGACCCCACCCCCTCTTCCATTTGCAGCATACCCGAAAGTCACTGGGATGTCAGAATTAAAAGTTTCAAAACAATAGCCTTCTCTTCTGTTTCCCTTTATAGGAAATGAGGTATCTCTTGTTAAATGATACTAAATAAAACAGTGTCTTAAAATGCCATGTAAGTTCTAGTGCCATAAGCCCCAAGGTAGACCTCCATGATCCCTGGCAGGCTGTAGTTTGGCCTCCCTCAGGACCCCAATAGTGCATTGGTTCAAACACCCCATTTCCTGCCTCGCCCAGACAAGTCCATTGCCCTGTGAGTCCCACACGTGGCAGCTGAGCAGGTAGGAATTGATTGCCTTTTAAAATGAACAAAGAGAAGGGATAGACTCAAGATCACTTAAATTGGTGAAATCTCCCAAGACTGAGGTGACAAGTGTAATAGTCATTTCTGACACAGCAATATTAGGTATTCCCAACACCAGTAGGTATTTGGAACTGAATGCCCTAGTGTTATAACATTTAGGGAAGACTTCTAACAAGTTACTAACTGCAATGCTAAGAGAAGTAATGACCAAAAAGGACAAACTGAATATATAAGAGTGTGTGGGGTTTTTTTTGTTCTTTTTTGTTTTTAATTAAGAGGTTATCTTTGTATAAGCTGCCCATGTTGGTCACTTGAGAATACAGAAAATATGGTCAGATAATACATTAGGTGTAAAATTATATATGAGAGTTTAAAAGTAATTTAAAAGAAAATTAAGCTAGGGATTTTAGACAGGGCCTGAAACCAAATTTAAATTTGTCTTAAAATTTTACAGTTGTTGTATTAGGGAAAAGATTAAGAATATGTTTTGCATTACAGTTACTCCTTTGGTTATTTAAAGAAGAAAGCAACTTAGATGGCTATGATAAAAAACAAATTCCAAAAGTAAAAGATGTAATCAAATGAAGATTTTATTCATTGACGTTTACAGGGTTTTTGTTGTTGTTGTTGTTTTTCCTTTTCCCATTTTTTAAGTTTTAGTTTTTAATGTCCTATCAGGAGAAAATAACTGTACAGCTCACCCTTGAAGAACATGGGTTTGAACTGCATGAGTCTACTTACACGTGGATTTTTTTTTTTTTTACAACACAATATACCATAAATGCATTTTCTCTCCCTTATGACTTTCTTGATAACATTTTCTTTTCTCTAACTTACCTTATTATAAGAATGTAGGGGCGCCTGGGTGGCGCAGTCGGTTAAGCGTCCGACTTCAGCCAGGTCACGATCTCGCGGTCCGTGAGTTCGAGCCCCGCGTCGGGCTCTGGGCTGATAGCTCAGAGCCTGGAGCCTGTTTCCGATTCTTTGTCTCCCTCTCTCTCTGCCCCTCCCCCGTTCATGCTCTGTCTCTCTCTGTCCCAAAAATAAATAAACGTTGAAAAAAAAATTGTATAAAAAAAGAATGTAGCATACAGTATGCGTAACATACAAAATACACATTAATTGACTGTTGATGTTATTGGTAAGGCTTCTGTTGGACAGTAGACTATTAGAGTTTTTGAGGAGTCAGAAGTTATACATGGATTTTGAACTGTCAAGGGAAGTCAGCACCCCTAATCCTGACATTGTTTAAGGTTCACCTCTTTGTTTAGGTCCTAAGCTTTTCAGGACTTGGGTTCTTTTTTTTTCTTTTTTCCCTCCCCTATTAAAAGTTCTCACATGAGGCTTATGATAACACAGGTTTCTGATAATACACCTGTCACCCAATAGCAGAACGGGCTGTTCTTAAGAGAGAGGGTCTATTTGTTGTCCTGGTGCTTTATTCCTTCCTGATGGGATTACTGTGAAGATTCATTTAAGTGAAATAAAAATCTTATTTAAAAACCTTATGAGGGGCGCCTGGGTGGCTCAGTCGGTTAAGCGTCCGACTTCAACCAGGTCACGATCTCGCGGTCCGTGAGTTCGAGCCCCGCGTCAGGCTCTGGGCTGATGGCTCAGAGCCTGGAGCCTGCTTCTGATTCTGTGTCTCCCTCTCTCTCTGCCCCTCCCTGGTGCATGCTCTGTCTCTCTCTGTCTCAAAAATAAATAAAAACGTTAAAAAAAATTAAAAAAAAAAAAAAAAACCTTATGAAAACTAAAAACTACTTCAGACGCATGGATTGCCGTTATTACATAAATATGCTCTCTTACAGGCTTTCCTGAGGCTCAAGCTTTAGGACTGGAGGTGTTCCACGCAGGCACTGCCCTGAAAGATGGCAAAGTGGTGACTAGTGGGGGTAGAGTCCTTTCGGTAACAGCCATCCAGGAAAATCTCATTTCAGCCCTTGAAGAAGCCAAGAAAGGACTAGCTGCTATAAAATTTGAGGGAGCCATTTACAGGAAGGACATTGGCTCTCGTGCCATAGCTTACCTCCAACAGCCCAGGTAAATTTCCTACCAAGGTCATAAGACAGCTTCAGAACTAGCACAACTTCAGAACTGGTATAAATGGCTATGTAGGAATTTCTGTTAACCCTGTACTAAGTCATTCTATAATTTCTCTCTGTGGGACTGATCTGATTTTTATTTGCATTTAGTTGGAGTCAAAACTAGTTAAAACAATATTGAGATGAAATGGAAAAAGCGTCATAGTACCTTTTTGTTTTGAAAAGTTTAAGAACTTTTTCACGTTGTATATTTTAAATATATATAATCATTTGTCAGGTACTCATAAATAAAAATGGGGATAAGAGGTTTTTATTCCTTGAGTTATCATATATTTAAACATTACTGTTGTATGTTTATCTTAGTTCCTGGTTTTGTCCAAGAATTCAAGATGAAAATATTGGCCATGTAATTTTGCAACTTAATTTGATTATACTGTAAATTTTGGCGGTCTCACTTTTTACTGTGTTTATACTTATTACTGAAATATGTTTTTGGACCCCTTATATGTTGGTACATACAGCTATTTTTTTGTAAGATCAATAAACTATTAATTGCAAATGTGGGTGTTTCAATTTATTAAATATTGTAATCACAACTCGTTGAGTTCATCTGTGAGAAATAAACAGGTCTTAGGACAAAATGAGAAATTTGTAGTAACTTAATTAAACTTAATACTATTAACTTCTAGACAGACGTTCAAAGTTTAAATACTGGAAGTTTTTTAGGATTAAGAACATTAAAATACCACGCTAAAAGTTTTATTTTTCATTTTAAAATAACTAGATTCTCCATTGAAATGACCTATTTCAAGGGACTGTGGTCTTAATACTAGTCTGAGTTTATTAAAGATGAAGAAAATGAGAGGACATAATGCCAGCTGCTACCTGAGAAAAGGTTTTTTTAAACCAGTAGAACTTGTTTTCCTATTTGAGCATGACTCTGGACTGCTAATTTTATTGGAGTTAATGGCCAAAGCCATCAACTCTGTTTGTACCCGGACACCGTGTTTCTAACAAAATTTCATATACTTATTCATGTATCACTACATTCTGGTAGATCAAAGTACTCATTTTTGAAAGGCAAGGCTACTGAATTCCCAGTGCTGTTCATGAACTTCACCTCTAGATGCACTGGTTCAATGTGTTGGCCTTATTTAGAAGGGAATGGTGCACTGAGTATCATCATCTGGTTTTGCTTTTCTCTTGTGTGTTTCTATCTGGTTTCTTACTGTCTTCAGCTGAAAGGAAACTTACACAATTCTCTATTGCAGTAAGAGTCCAGTTTCATTATTCAGGGATTTCTTTGGAGAGTGCATATAATCCTCATCTTCACTTTCTTTACTCCATTTTAGAATTCCTTTCCTTCCCATACCAAAATTGAACAGAGATGTTGTGGCAAAATATTAGTATATGTAGCTGCCTGTGAGGAATACTTGTAGAAGAAATAAGAGAAGTAGTTCTCAATAGTGATGATACAACTGAATCAACTGAGGAAGTTATTTAAACACATTTCGATTTCCAGGGCCTGCCCTAGACAACGTTAAAATCTGCGGATGGGGCCTACCATGTCCGGAGAGCTAAAAACCACTACGGATATCTTCTGTTTTAAATAATACTTTAAAATTAAAATAACTTTCCCTGGCATTTAGGTGAAGTGCTTTGTTTTGTTTAATTCTTTAGGGGCCTGACTTACAAGGAATCTGGGGTAGACATTGCAGCTGGAAATACGCTGGTCAAGAAAATTAAACCTTTAGCAAAAGCTACCTCCAGACCAGGTAAGTCAGAGCCTATACTTTGCTAGTTCATTCATTAACTTTGAGAAACACTGAGAATTGATCTGTAATTTACTGAGGAAAATGTTCCAAATTAATGCCAGGTTCCTGTAAGTCTTGTCCTATGTAAGCCATACCCAGTTTTCTGCTTTCTTGTCTATAATACTAAGAAAAGCATTTCTTGAGGCGCTTGGGTGTCTCAGTTAGTTAAGCATCCAACTCTTGGTTTTGGCTCAGGTCATGATTTCACAGTTCCTGAGATTGACCTCTGAGTTGGGCTCTGTGCTGACAGCCCCTCCCCCACTTGTACTGTCTCTCAAATATTTTATTTATTTATTTTTATTATTATGTTTTTTAAGAGTGCACAAGCAGGGGAGGGGCAGAGAGAGGGGGACAGAGGATCCATTGCGGGCTCCGCACCAATAGAGAACCTGATGCAGGACTCGAACTCATGATCTGTGAGACCATGACCTGAGCCGAAGTCTGACACTTAACCAACTGAGCCACCCAGGTGCCCCAAAATAAATAAATAAACATTTAAAACAAAGAAAAGCATTTCTTATCCGTGATGTTAAACTTAGATATGTCTGCTCCTTTAATATTTAATTACTTTCTTGATCAATTCTTTGAGCATGTGGTGCTCTCCCCCATTCTCAGGAAAAGCAGCTCTTGTTTTAGCCATGCTTATGAAGAAGTTGTTTGTACATCCGTGTTTAATCTGTTGAAATGCAACAAGTATTTAATTTTTTTCCCCATTAGGCTGTGATGTTGATCTTGGAGGTTTTGCTGGTCTTTTTGATTTGAAAGCAGCTGGTTTCAAAGATCCTCTTCTGGCCTGTGGAACAGATGGTGTGGGGACTAAACTGAAGGTAATCAGACACCTATGTGGTTAAAGGCCTTTTGGGAAAGTTAAGAGAGAATTTACTATAAATCAAATACATATTTTTCCTCTCTTGATATGCACTAGAGAGAACTATACCAAATAACCATAAAATATGGCTAAAATATCTATATATTTCTGAGAGCACAATGTTGTTGAGGCTCTATCTGGATGGAAAGCTTATTTGAGGGGATTAAATGGGATACTTTTGGATAAGTAGCTCCTCAGAATTCAGTATTTTGTCTTTGGGTGCTCGGAGCAGCAATATTTATTAGCCCACTGATAAACTGACAAGATATTATTTGGAGCTTATTCACTTATGTGGACATTTCTATTATGCTTCTTTAGATTGCCCAGCAGTGTAATAGACACGATACCATTGGCCAAGATTTGGTTGCAATGTGTGTAAATGATATTCTGGCCCAAGGGGCAGAGCCCCTCTTCTTCCTTGATTACTTTTCCTGTGGAAAACTTGACCTCGATACAACTGAAGCTGTTGTTGCTGGAATTGCCAGAGCCTGTGGGAAAGCTGGATGTGCTCTCCTTGGTATGACCGACCATCCATTAATCTCCTGTCCTTTTTCTTACTGTGTTTTACCCCATGTATAAACGTGATTGGTACCAATATAGATAAGAAGAAAAACTGTAGATTACAAAATGAAGCAAATAAAATATATATAACATTACCAGAAGAAAACTTAGATCCTGGTGCCCTCAAGCTTCTCCTCAAAGGTTTGTCCCCCAGACTCCTACTCCTAGACTTTGAGCCAGGCCTTGCCTTTCTCCCTGATCTTTAGCATCTCCACCCCCATCTTTCTCAATGGCCTCATGGACAGACAGGGTTAGCAGTTTCCTGCTTACTGGCCTGCAGCAGAAGGAGATGATTCCTGGCATTCTAAATCTTAATGTTTCCTGACTGAAGTGACACTAGGAATAAAATGTACCTAACACAGAAATACTACTTAAATACATACGAGAATTTGAAGCAAAATGAATGTGTAGTCCGAGTGGTAAAACTACCTTCTTTATATTACCATTTCTGTGGAAAATATGTCCCAACAGCCAAAATTGCCTTTTCAACTGTCTTTTAGTGTTGTTTTTGTTTTTTTTTTTTTTAATTTTATATTTGAGAGAGAGAGCAGGGGAGGCACAGAGAGAGAGGGAGACAGAGAATCTGCAGCAGGCTCAGGATCTGGGCTGTCAGCACAGAGCTGGACGCAGGGCTCGAACTCACAAGCAGTGAGATCATGACCTGAGCCAAAGTCGGATGCATAACCAACTGAGCCACCCAGGCACCCCTTCAACCATTGCTTAGAACAGTTTAGGGGCACCTGGTGGCTCAGTAGGTTAAGCATCTGATTGTTGATTTTGGCCCAGGTCATTATCTCACGGTTCATGGGATGGAGCCCTGCATTGAGCTCTGTGCTAACAGCATGGAGTCTGCTTGGGATTCATTCATTTTCTCTCTCTCTCTCTCTCTCTCTCTCCACCCCCTTCTCCTTCTCCCTCTCCTTCCCTCCTTCCCCCACTCTTGCTCAAGTACGCACTCTCCAAGTAAATAAATAAACATTAAAAAAAAATGCATAAGGGGCGCCTGGGTGGCGCAGTCGGTTAAGCGTCCGACTTCAGCCAGGTCACGATCTCGCGGTCCGTGAGTTCGAGCCCCGCGTCGGGCTCTGGGCTGATGGCTCAGAGCCTGGAGCCTGTTTCCGATTCTGTGTCTCCCTCTCTCTCTGCCCCTCCCCCGTTCATGCTCTGTCTGTCTCTGTCCCAAGAATAAATAAACGTTGAAAAAAAAATTTAAAAAAAAAATGCATAAAAAAGAAAAAAAAAAAGAACCGTTTATAACTTGGAGTCTGCCTGCCTACACCCTGTCTTTACGTATGATCACAAAAGTGAACTGTACTTTCTAGGCCAGGGCATTTGGATTTAGGCCTGAGTACGTCACTTCTCTAAGCTTATACTATCATCTGGAATGTAGAGTGATTATAAAGATCGAATACAGGTGAAAGCATTTCTAAAATTGCCATAGGAATGACATCATATTCAACCAAGCATTCATCCTTTGAATGTCATGCTGTTGGGAAGCTACACTTCTCCCTCATGGGAATTTAGCAGTTTGCCTTAAAATTGTACTTGGTTGAAAATTCTGTTAGGCA